CGTTCCCAGCTTTAAGTCTTTTTTTTTTAATTTATTTTTGCCAAATCCGTGTTCGCAGCGAGATCAAAACGAGCGCGGTGCCTCCCGGTGCCGCCTCATTCCTCGGCAGGTGCTGGAGCCCAGCCTCGCTCCTGCTATCTGATGGGACCACTCCTGCTGTGTTCTCCACCCTTCCAAACAAAAACTCCAGCTACAAACGGTACTTAAATCCTGAGAAAGCCTTGTCTCAATTAGCTCAGCGCTGAGTGTCTTCAAAGACAACCAGGACTGGAACACGTGGCGGCCGCTGCGGTTCCCTCTGGGAGAGGCAGACACCACACCTCATTCCTCCACCTGCTCCTGGATCGGGGAGCATGGCCTGCAGACACAATCCCAGACAGTGCTGCTGCATGGGGATAAAGGCACATGGGCTGCTGCTCCTCCAGATGAGTGTTCCCAGCCCTCACCCGTGTCTCCGCTGTGAGGTGGAGAAACGTGAGTGTGTGGCCAGGGAAGGGTTGCTGGTGGATCTGGCTGGGTGAGGACTTGCTGGCGTTCCAAACAGGAGAGCGTGTCTCCCTGCTGGGGGCTAAGAGTTGTGGCAGAGCAGTGGTTTCGGTTTTCTGGGTTCCTGGTCCTTCCCTCCAGCAGGTGTTGTCCTCCCGCTGCTCACGTGGCTCTGGCAGAAAGTGGGGAACCCATCTTCTCTGGGTGCTTTGGGAGACAAGTTGATTGATGTCATCCCATAAAGAGGTGAGGGGGTCAGAAATTGGGGTGGGACTTGGCAATGGGACAGAGGCTCCATTTGCTGCTTTTTGAGTTCTAGTTTCTCTGCTTACAGGAGAGACCCAATGCTGAAGCGGGAAGGAACCTGATGAAATCATCTGCTTTTGTCCTTGGATATGGGTAAAAATCAGGCTCCTGTTGTCCTCAGTGGCCAGCTGAGGCAGTCCTGGAAGCCAGGCTGACATGGGCAGGGGCTGTACCTTCAGTGAGGAAGGGAAACCAAAGCCACTGTGGACTCTCAGAGGTCTCAAATCCCCTCTTGGCTTCTCCATGGGGTGTTTGTTCTGAGCAAAGAGAACCCTGCAGGGAGGTGAGGGGATCAACTGGAGTGAGGCATCAAAACTGCTACTCTCTTGCTGCTCCTGGTCATGGTCTGGGTTGTGAGCTGGTGGTCCAGGCAGGACCATGGGTATGAGCAGGCCTTTCTGGCAGGGCACTTGTGACTTCGTCCAGCACATTAATTCAAGAGATGGGACCCTTGCTGCTTCCAGCAGTTCCCCAGGATGGACCATGGAAGGTGGGTGCCGTGTTGCTCTCCAGGGGGTGATGGAGAGCAGGGGGTGGAAGGCTGTGTCCAGTTCTGTGGGTGTGGCACAGAGCATCCGTCTCTGCCCAGCTGCTCCTGTGCTTTCTTGGCACAACCATCCCCCTTCCTCCAACCACATCCGTTTCTGGAGTCCCTGTGGATCTGGTTTTCCCTGGGTCTCTGTCTGCATGCAGCCTTTTGGCCAGGAGGTGTTTAACTGGACCACACATCCGCTTCCCGGAGAGCTCAGTGCTCCCAGCGCTCTGCTGGCAGGAGCCTTTACGAGCCGCGGGGGCAGTGGAGGGAAAAGGACCCCGAGAGCCAACAAACCCTGTTCCCCGTGTGCCCGGGCTGTGACACTGCCGGGGCGCTGCTGTTCCCTGGCACAGCTCCCGCTTGGGTTGGTGCTGGTTTGTGTCACAGCGCCGGGGTCATCCTGACCAGGAACCATCTCTGCCGGTGCAGGGGAGCTGCGTGAAAGCATCCGCACCTCCCGCAGAGCCCCCGGCGCGCCGGGTTCCAGCGGGACGCTCGGGGCTTTCCCGGCACATCCCATTAGGTGGCAATGCAGGCTGTGCCTCCGAGCATCCCCGCGGGATGACGGCAGCGAGAAACGGCTTCGGGCCCCGGGGGGAAGGCAGGCTGCGGTGCCCAAGGCTCCTGGGTACGTGGAAAAGGCTCTCAAATCTGTGCTTTTAACTCTATTTTGGACCCTGGGATTCCCATGCCCCTGGCTCTGAGGTGCCCTGTAGCACGTGGTGGCTGTGGCCATCCCTGGGCCAGCTCTGTCCCTTGTGTGGGCCACGCAGGTTCTCTTTGCAAGTGCTTTGGCCTCTGTGTCCACGCTGGTGTTCCCTGTTTGCCTTACTCCATGTCGTTTCCAAGGCAGAGAAAGCACCCAAGTGGCATCGGGACAAGAGGGGCACTGAGCATCTTCTCTGGGGTGACCAGCAAGCAGGGCAGCCCCTGTTCATCTGCCTGCCTTACAGACCATCTCAGGCTCCTGCTCTCCATCCTCTCAGCAGACTTTCCCAGGCCTAGAGAGGACGGAGGAGACACCTGCAATGCCCTTGGCCTCAAGCTCTTGCTCAAGAAATGTGTGAGTTAAGAGCTCACCTGGCCCAGTGCTGGCCTGCAGCCAGGGGACTTCCCAGGGTGACCACTGGGCCAGACAGCAGGATTGCTCATGGACCTCAGCATCACCCGTGGGAGTGAAAGAGGAGGTGCCTGAATTTCAAACAGGAGTTGAGGTGAAAGCACGGGGCTGGAGGCTCCGTGGGGGTGCACTGGACACCCCTCCCAGTCCCCACTGTGCGTGCTGGCTGCCCCCACAGCAGCCCTGTGCTCCGTCCCCCCCTTCTCCTGGGCTCCAGGGGGTCATGCATCCCATGACCTGCCTCTCCCACATGTAACTGGGATGTTATCTGGAGCCTGGAAAGCTCTCGGGTTCCAGACCTCGGAACAGAGCAGCATTAATGGCAGCCCAGCCAAGGGGAATGAAGTAATATTAAAGTGTGATATTTCATTGCTCTGTAATTAACTTCAGCTGCTTTCAAGCTGCAACAAATTACCCTCAAAGCCCGTTTTTGTACCGAGGAGAACTTTGAACTGCGTTACCAGCCCTGGTGTCTGGGAGGGAGCGGGGAGGCTGCTCCTGCTGTCTGTGGCTGCAGCTCCGTGTGTGGTTTGGGATGCGATGGTGTGGCCCAAACCAGCCCCGGGCCGGGTGTGCCCAAACAAAGGCAGAGGTTGTGTGTTGGGGATGGAATTAACCCCTGCAAGGGAGAGCCCCGGGGGTGGGAAACTACCACAGCGTCCCAGGAGAGCCTTCAGCTCCACCCTGCTTGTCTTTTCTGCTGGGAGATATCCCGGGGCACCCCCGGGATTGCTGCAGCCAGAGATGGGTGTGCCCCGTGTCACCTCGGGCTCCCTGTGGTGCCTCCAAGGCTTTGGGCACATGTGACCATTCCCAGGGCTTCCAAAATGCTGTGTGCAAGTTAATGCAGGGCCTGAACCTCAACCAGCTTGTTGGAGAGAAAATTCAGCCGAGCTGCCTGTTAGAAGCCAGCTGGCTGGTTCAGCCAAGACCTGGGGATCCCATCGTTTTCGGGAGCCACCGATGCCCTTGAGTGGCACAAAACACAGCTCTGCGTTTCCCAGCAGGACCCCTCCTGCTTCAGCTCCCTAAATACTGGGAGAATACACTTAGCACTTGTTTGCATTTACTTTGCATCTTCTGTCTCCAGCAGGAACCACGGAGCTGGTCCCGTGCAGCCCCGGGCTGGGAATGTGGCCCAGGCTCCTGCCACACACCCGATGGCGCTGCGGGATTTCCAGGCAGAGGGGCTGCCAAGCCCTCCCCATCCTGGAGAAGCTGCTGCTCTGGAAGAGCAGGACTGCAGCAGCTTGTCTGGGATGCCTCAACCCAGGGGCAGCTTAATTACCTTTGATAAATTCATGAGATCATAAAACCAAAGGAAGATGGGAAGTGTTCCTGCTCAGCCCTCGTCCGATGGGATGCAAGGCAGGCATGCTTGGAACTGGTCTGAGCGGATTAAGCTCAGCATCCAGAGGAACTGCAGAGACAACACGTGCTCTGAAGAGGTGGAGAGCAATCTTCCCAGCTCTGCAGCATTATCCAGGGATGTGCTCTTCCCTTTGGAGACCTCCAGGGCAGCTGGGGGCTGGGGAGCTGCGGCACAGGTCCCACATGTTTGCCATGTGGGTCCCTTGCCCATCCCTGGGGGAGCTGAGTCACCCTGGTCTCTGAGGAAAGGTCTCAGTGTTCTCCCATGTCCTGGGGAAGGGCTGGCTGAGCACAGTTCTCCCATGTCCCGGGGAAGGGCTGGCTGTCCCCTGGGATGTGCTCGGGAGAGGAGGAGGGAACTGTGGCTGGTCTGGACCCCTCTGCCCCTCTCCATGTGCCTACCAAGGGGGTGGTCAGAGGAGTTTGAAGAGCTGCTCTATTTCTGTAGATGATGTTGGGGGATGAAAACCCCTGATCTGGCTGTGTTTGAGAGGCAAGCAGACCTTCTACCCAAATTCCCAGGGAGAAAGCCAGCAGCCCGGATTCCATTGTGCCACCCTGCTCCTGCCTGGGATGGCTCAGTCCCAGCCTGGGGCCCCAGCAGCCCTGTTCCACCAGCTGCAGTGGGGTTCCAACCCCTGGGCATGGCATAGGAGGGGTCACAAGGAGCCTGATCCATGGGCAAGAGACTTAAAAAAGAGAGGGAAGCTTCCACCTCTGTTTCCTGGGATGCCAGTGGAGCAGTGCTGGAGCACAGCCTGGTGCCTCAGGCAGGAGATGTGAAGCAGTGGCACGTGGCTTAGCTTTAATTACCCTTAATTACCCAAACCCATCCACCGGGGTCAAAATCTGGGGCAGGAGCATCCCAGTGGGACAAGGGAACTGGGAGACCGGGCAGTGCCCTGATGGAGCTGCCCTTCCCAGGAAAGCCATGTGGTTTGGATCCTGCTGGGAGCGCTGCAGCCCCAGCCTTATCACCTTCACCAGGCCAAGTGGAGTGAGTTAATGATGGGATTCATCACAAAGCAATCCAAGGAGCAGCAGTGGATCCGAGCGCTTTCCATTTGGTGACGCACATCCAACCCTTAATGGAAGCTGACAGCCTGACCCTGGGACCCTGCTCTGGCCAAACACAATCAGCCTGATAGTCCCCTGGAGAAAGGAGCCATGGCTTTAATGTGTCTTCTCAAAACATTTGTCTCACCAGCTTAAAAAGAGAAGCCCAGCCTGCAGAGGTGCAGAGCTGGGGTTGTGTGACCTCCCCTCCCTTCCTCAGCTCTGCAGCTTGAAAAGCCTCAGCCTGGGAATGTGCTGGGATGGCTCAATCCAGCAAGGAAAGCTCCACCAGCATCCCAAATCCTCTCCAGGCTGTGCTCTGGTACCCAAGGGAAGAATTAACATACTGTGAGTACTGATAGGGAAACTTCAGTAATTGAAGGTGTTTGGAGGCTTTTATTGGCATATTTGGGTTTGGAGGTAATATTTTACTGCACCAGCTCTTCCTCTGCTCTAAACCTTTCCCTGCCTTCTCCCTCTGCAGTTTAAAAGGGAAACAACATGTTTTATTCCAAGTTCCCAGCCCAAGTCTCCATCCCTCTTGCCAACTGTACTTCTATTAAAAAAAATGTCGACATTGCCCCTCAAGCAAAAGATCAAACCTTTGATATAAAACGGGACTGGGAAGGAGGGTTGAGCTTTCCAAGCCCTAGTTTCATCCTGACTGACTGTGTTTTCTTATCTTCATGTTTTCCCACCTCCCCCTGGTTTTGATAATCAAGCCCACTACTGCTGTAGGTCCATTCATTGCATCAGGGAAGGGCTGAGCCAGGCCTGGGCCTCGAGCCACCCCTGCTCCTGCCATCCAAAGAGGTTGGGATGTGGGCTCACACCTGATCCCAGCACCTGGTTGCACAGAGAGATTGTGGACTCCAACCCTGGAAGTGTCCAAGGCCAGGTTGGACGGGGCTTGGAGCAACCTGGGATAGTGGGAGGTGTCCCTGCCCATGGCAGGGGGTGGAACTGGATGGGATTTAAGGTGCCTTCCAACCCAAACCCTTTCATGGTTCCATGGTTTGAATGATGGCTGCATCTCCTTGCAGGGCAGGTGCAGAAATGAGGAGCCAAGATCTTCCCAGGAACAACAGGAGGTGGGTACAAGGAAAATCTTCCAGGAGTGGCTGGAAGGAGAGAATCCTGACAGCCATCCTTGTTGCCAACCTGATGGCATCCTTGGTTGCCACTGTGGCTAGCAAAGGATTCTTACTGACTCCTCAGCTGGTGCCAGGATCCTCAGGGAAAGCTGCAGGAAGTCCTGGAGCCCTCATCCAGGCTGCTCCCTAGAACCCATTCCCAGAAAAGGTGGTCTCTCCTCGGGAAGTCTTCTCCAACGTGGTCCTTGATGGACAGAACAGCCCAAGTGGTTTCTGGGGCTCATGTGTGGCTCACCCATTGAGCTTTCCCGTTCCTAATGTCGTTTATTTTTTGCTCGGGATAATCCAATATCCAAGGTCAGCTCAGCAGTTGTTTGATCCCACAAGTCCCTTGGCCCCATCATATGACATTGAGTTCCTCGAGGCAAATTGTGTGAAAAGATGCCTTTTTTTCCCCCCCCTAACTTCTGAATTTGCTGTCCCTTCATTCCTGCTGAATGCCCCGTTGTTTGCAGAGCCTGAATACCAGCTCTGTCCCCGGGCCAGGGATGGCCCCATCCACTGGGCACCTCAAAGATGCTTTTCCTGAATGTGCTGATTTTCAGAAGAGCCCTCCAAGGCAGGGCAATTACTCTGGCTTTGTGCAACGACCTCCATCCAGAGGATGGCCCAAGAGGAAGATGGGGATGGTGGCACTGAGTGGACCCACTGGGAGGGGGGAGGGAAGCCAGGCAGCTCCAGTGGGAAGAGCTCTGAACCCCTCTTTGTGCTGCTGGAGCAGTGACCCCATCTGTCCTCTGCCCTCTCCTCAGTGCAAGAGCTGTGGGAGCGCCTGGGAACCCCTGGCAGAGCGGGGGCTGGGGATGATGAGGCTGGAATTGTGTTCATTCCCTCCTGGGAATGAACACAATTCCTTCCCGGGGCTGCTCTCTCCCCTTTGCTTTTCATCCTGCTCTGTCTGTTCCCCATCCCTGGAAGTGTCCAAGGCCAGGTTGGATGGGGCTTGGGGCAACCTGGGATAGTGGATGGTGTCTCTGCCCATGGCAGGGGGTGGCACTGGATGAGCTTTAAGGTCCCTTCCAACCCAAACCCTTCTATGATGCCTGGGGGACAAGCCATGGCACGGGATGAGGACCCCCTTCCCCATCCAGAGCCTGGCAGTGCCACCCAGCTCACCCCACAACTCACCTGGGAATTGCTGCACAGGGACAGCAAGGACACAAGGACATTTTCCATCTCCACGTGTGTCACCCCCAGATGTGGGGAATGGGGAGTGTCCCCTGAGTCACTAGAGGTCCATGTCACACTGGCTGGGCTCTGGAGCCTGCTCCTCTCCAGGAGCCACAGCCAAGCTGAGGAGGGGCAGGGATAGGGAGCCCCAGGGGGCTGGGACCATGCTCCTGCACCTTCAGAGAATCCCAGAATGGTTTGGGCTGGGAGGGACCTGAAAACCCATGTCATTCCAATCCCTACCCACACCTTCCACTGGACCAGGTTGCACCTTCTGCAGGCAGGAGCAGATGCTGGCAGGGAGACTCAGGTGGGAAAGGATGATGCTGTGGACACCTTCACTGCCTCTGCTCTCCTCTCCTTGGCACTCCAGGATCCAAACCTGTCAAAACTCACCCGTCAGCATCAGAAGCAAATGACTTGGAAGCATCCAGGTAAAACTGCAGCTCTTTTGATCTGTGGGGCTTTGTTTTGTTTGCTTGATCTTACAGCCCCCTAACACTTTTGTGTTGGAATCACAGCAGTTATCCTATCTTCTTTGTCAGTGCTGCAGAGGGAAGCTGAAAGCAGCCTGTTCCTCCATAGCTTGTGCCACAAGGATCCTCCAGATCCACACGGATCCTGCCAAAACAGGCCTGACCGATGCATTTCAGAGACCAGATCTCTGCTGGAGTTCACTGCAGCACCTCCACAGCCCTCCCCAAGCCAGCCCCCTATTCCCACTGTAGATGGAGGACAGCAGGCACCCACTGGGGAGGATGTTGGTGACAACTGGGGAGCCCTGAAATCAGAAAAATCCGTGGGGCAGGACCTTGTGTGTGACCCCACCCCATGTGCCAGGACAGCGGGTGGAGTGGTCACTCTTCCCTCCCAGGGTCCCATCCCTGCATCCTGCTTGCTGTGAGCCAGCTGTCTGAAGGAACAGGAATTGCTGCCAGGTTAGGAGGTGTTTCTCACCCCCACGAAAACAAACAGGGCTGATTTGTTCCCAATTTGCTCGTCCACGGGAGCTGCAAAGCTTTGCCTGCGTGGGGTGGGAGCCGGGAGTTTGGCTCCGTTTGATCGCGTGCTCTCCCGCCCCAGCTTCAAAGATCTCTTTGCTTTTCCACTCCCTTTTATGTCCCATCTCTTGAAGTTCCAGTCCTGCACGAAGGCACAAACCCAGGACAGCTGAAGGCTTCCAAATGCAATTATTTTCCAAAGCATTTCAATAAATTAGCAGCTCGTTTCTTTGCCAGACAGCACTTCCCTTCCCATTGACCCGCGTCTGTGCAGCCTGCAATGTGCCTTGGACCTTTATCCTCTGGGATGTCAGCCTGGGAGGACGGAGCTGGGCACTCTTAGCTGTGATTCAGACCTGGACTGGGCCTCCAGGAGGGTTGGCACGAGCACCTGCAGATATATATTTCTTTAATAGCCATTTATTTATTAAACTACTTTGGAGTCTGATTCACTCGCTCCGTTCGATATTTATTGGTGCTTCACCTGCCTCGAACTGGGAGCACTTTGATTAATGGATTTGCCTTTCCTGGAACCGTGTCCCAACATCAGCTCATCAGCATCCTCAGCCAAGGCACCACTCTTGTAAATCAAGGATGGCAAGGGGAAAAACCCCAAGCAGGGCTTGCCCGGGGGCAGGACAGCGACCCACGCACCCAGCTCCCCAGTTCCATGGTGTTCAGAACTTGGATAAGGGATTCCAAGTGACTGAAAGCTCTGTTTAATATAGAGATTAATTATTTCTTCCCAATGTCTTATCTAACCCTGCCCTCTGGCAGTGGGAAGCCATTCCCTCTTGTCCTGGCACTCCATGCCCATGTCCAAAGTCCCTCCCCAGCTCTCTTGGAGCCCCTTTAGGTCTCTCATCCCCGTCTTATCCCACCACAGGCTAAAAGGACTCAGGTGCACAAGGATTGGGGCAATGGCAGTGTAGGAAAGAGCCTGGGAATACCAGCTAAAGGTGAGCTGCTGTCACTGCATGAACACGAACCACCCAGCCTGGGATCAAGCTGGGATTTTTCCTGAAAATGCTTCTCTGTGGTAGAGAGAGGCGGCATTTAACAAAGGCAGTTTTGGGACACATCTATATTGGATGTCTAGATGTTGCTATGGAGAAGCTGGATGGAGGCCACCAGGAAAAAGGAGGCTCAGGGGGGACCTTCTCACTGTCTACAACTCCCTGACAGGAGGGGGGAGCTGGAGGGGGTCGGGCTCTGCTCTCAGGGAACGAGGGACAGGACCAGAGGGAAGGAACAGCCTCAAGTTGCACCAGAGGGGGGGGTTAGACTGGATATTGAGAAAAATTTCTTCACCAAAAGGACAGTCAGGGGTTGGATCAGTCTGCTCAGGGCAGTGGTGGAGTCACCATCCCTGAAGTGCCCGAAAGCCACGTGGATGTGGCACCTGGGGACACGGGCTGTGGTGGCCTTGGCAGTGATGGGTCAGGGGTTGGGCTCAATGAGCTGAGAGAGCTTTTCCAATCTTAATGATTCTGTGATTCCATGAAATAGCACCAGGGAGATGTTCCCGGGGGGCTCCCTGCTTGCCCAGGTGGCTGGGGCTGGATTTTGGTGTGGGCTGGACTCCCAGGGCAGGGCCATCCATGGAAGGGTGATGCTGGGTCTGCCCTGCTGCCCCCCTGGGGAGGTGGGTTTTGAGGGGGGCCCCACAGTGACAAGGAGATGTACCCACAGCTGTCCCCTCTGCATGGGGAGCTTTTCTTTTAAAATAATGGCCAACAAAAAAAAAAATCCCTGTCACTTAACAAAAATATTTCAGGCCTTTTGGGTTTTTCCCTGTGATTAAGTCTAATGAGAAGAGACAGCAGAGGCTTTATCAGTATCTGCTCACTGATTCCAGCTTTGCCTCTGTGGTGACAAGAGATCTAATGCTGTTATTCCCCAGCAAGGACTTCATGCAATGTGAGCGGGGCCCTGACAGCCGAGCTGCATCCCAACCCTCCCTGAAGTATGGAGTGGTGGGGGAAATAAAACAGCAGGATAAACTGGGATGGAGGGAAGTATCTGAACCTTGACAGCATTGCCATGGTAACGGGGGACCTGCCAGTGCAGGCTGCAGGCTGGCACGGGGGGCAGAGTGGCACCGTGGGCGCCGTGACACGCTGTTATCCGGGATGGACTGGGATGGAGAGGCTGCGTTTTCCCTTATGGAAGTCAGCAGCAGCCTTGGGAAGATGCTCAGGGAGCCGATGGCAGGGGTGAGAGGCAGCTCTGGGACATGAGAGTCTCTTGAGCGAGGTCCAACCTCCTCTGCCTCCCCTTCCCCCTCCCCATCCGCAGTCCCAGCGCTGCTTCCAGAGCAGCTGCTGCTGGCTGGACCACACAGGTCAGGGGGGAGGTTAGTCATGCTGGTGGGAAGCAGCGATTCCCTTTTGGGAAAACACACCAAGGCTCAAGGCTATGTTTGCATTTCCCCTAAGGAGTGAAGCCCAGACCTTTGCCCACGGCTCAGCCCAACCAAAAACATCCCCGGGCCCGCAGCATCCGCTGGGCAGCGTCACCACCCTGGCCACAGCAGCTCCTGATCGTCCCCATCCCCTCTCCCAGCTGCTTGGCTTGAAGGCAGGGGCCTTTTGCCTTCCTGTGGCCAAACCGTGGGTCCAGCACGGGGAGGGGCAGCGCTGAGGGTCCCTCAGGGTGGGACGGGAGCGTGTTTGGGTGGGGATGTCTCTGGCAGGGGGGGTGCTGTGGGAACAACAGCTGCGGGCTGGGAGCAGTGCTGGGAGCAGGGATTGATGGAGGGGTGCCGTGCTGTCACTCCCAGCAGCGGGTTTGCCCCCAGCCCTGCCCAGCTGCAGGGGCAGAACGTGCCCTCCCAGCCCCTCCCGCCCCTCCCGCGCGGCCACGTGAGAGGCGACGGAGGAAAGACGGGGCTAAAAATAAACCAGGGTAAAAATAGCCCCACGTGTGCTCGCTTTCCAGGCGAAATGAGGGGAAGTTTCATCTGAAGAGAAGAAAACCACAGCGAAATTTACCTTCCCAGCTCATCCTCTGGGAAGCGGGACCTGTCTCCAAGCAGGGGAGGAGCGCCTGGTCCAGTGCGGCCCCTGGGAGATGGGGGAAGTGGGGAACGTGGGCTGGAGGGAGCTCTGGCAGCACATCTGGGCTGATGTTTGCAGCACTGCAGCTCCACTGCTGTGGAAGGAGCAGTTCCCCCTCCCAGCTGGAGTTGGGTCTGGCAGAGCCTGGCATCTGCATCCTGGTGGTTACCCCCAGGTAACCACTTCTGTGTGAGGGGCAAAGAGAGAAGCTCCCATTCCCAGCACCCGAGGGCATCCAGGCAGCTGCAGGCTGGGCTTTGAAATGCAGCAGAAGCTGCTCTGTCCTGAATACAGGCACTTATTTCTCACCCAAACAGGGCAAGGGGGGGGAAAAACCACTGCTATGGAGCTGCAAACTGGGGTGGCTCCTTGGGAGTTTCACACAGGGAGATGCCTAATCTGGATTAATGATGTCACAGGGCTGGGACTGCATCTCAACCCGTGCTAAACCACAAAATATGTCGGTGCACCTCTCCCCTCTGCGTTGCTGCCTCCCTCTCCTGCAGTTTCTCTTAGCAGAGGGAATTTCTCTCCTTTCTGCCCAGCTGAGCTCCCTGGTGCTCAGGCAATGCCTCTGGGCTGACCTAACTGCAAGGACACAGAAGGATTCATCCTTATTGCAGCAACGGGGAAAAAATGTTGATGGTGTTATGATGGAAACCCAACCCCACCTAAATTTGTGCGTGGCCCCAGTGCACTGGGAGGTTCTCCTGGGCTGGAGGAGCAGACAGCTGGGGCTGTGAGTGCTGCCCAAGGCTCATCTCCGCCTGCTGACACCACCAGGGCCTTCAATCCAGGCAGAGTTCCCACCCCAGATCCACTGGTGCCAGGTTTGTGTTTTCCATGGGTTGTTTCCTAGGTGTTTCTGTTAAGCAGAGATCCTCAGATGGGCTGGGTGGGAGTTGTGGGGATACCCTGAGTGTCCTCAGGCTTTCCCAGGACAAGCTGTGCAGGGGCTCCTCCTGCCCCGGGTATGATGCAGGTGCCTCCAGCTCCTTCATAGGTATTTGGGTCCCATCTAAAGCCAGTTTGGTGGTCCCCCTGCCCTGAGACCCAATGGAAGTTTATCAAACCCTAACCAGAGTTCTGAACTCAACTTTTCCTCTTCCAATCTGTTCTTTGTGGGCTTGGTTGCATTTTAGGAGCTCAATAAAAACAATTGTTAAAACTGAAACAGGAGAAAAAATGGTCATTACAACACATTCCAGGCTGGCACATGTTAGGAATGTTCTTAATTAATAGCGTGGTGGGAAGGAAAACGAAAGGGAAATGTTAAAGCAAGACTGTGGACAGATGTAGAGGAGGAGCCCCACGAAGGGAGGTGCCCACAAAGTCTCTCCTACCACACAGCCTCCAAATTGTTCCCAGGAGAGGACTGTGGAGCCAAACCTGGATCAGCCCCCTGTGCTGATCCAAGCTGTGGCAGGATAGGATGCCTTGGCAGTGCCAGTGCTGGATGAGGAAAGGACAGGAGCAGAGAAGCTGATGAACCTGCCAGGCTCTCCTGCCTTTTAGTTTCTGACCAAAACCTTATTTCTCTGTGACTGGAGGAAAGACAAATCACAGCGTCCAAAAAGGCTCAGTACCTGTGTCAGACAACTCCTGGCCAGCTGTGGTGAGATCCTGAGGCTGTGCTTGCCACAGAAAGGGCTGCCAGGCACTGGCACAGTGTCAGGCACTGGCACAGGCTGCCCAGGGCAGTGGGGTCACCATCCCTGAGAGCATTCCAGAGGTGTGTGGATGTGGCACCTGGGCACTGTGGTGGTGCTGCTGGGCTGATGGTTGGACTTGATGATCTTAGAGAGGTCTTTTCCAACCTTAAGGATTCTGGGATTCTAAAAGGGGCCTTTCTGGATCACCCTGGATGGCGACAAGGTCTGGTGGAATCCGGACGAGTTCAGACAGAGCCAGTTTACCTTACCAACACCCCTCCTCACGCCGAGCTCCCGATGCTGTCACACAGGGCTGGCAGACCTCGACCTTTCAGGCTGGAAAGGTGCTCCCCATCCCTGCTTTATCTTACAAGTGCAAATGAAGGAGGAGAAATGAGGAAAAGCTCCCTTGCCACCTAGTTCCTCACCTTTTATTAGGATAATCTCCCTTTCACTAGTTTTGTTTTGTTTGGTTTTTTTTTTTCACGCTGTCGGTCTTTGCTTTGTTTGCTTGGAGAGAGCGCTGGCACACACTCCAGGAAATTAGCTCTTAACTAAAGGCATTTATGTAATTGGGGAGGGCGGGGGAGGTGTGCGGCGCGCTGGCTTTGGGGAAGTTCAGTCCACGAAAACAAACCTCGCAAACTCCACTTGGTTCTGATTAAGGAGGATAAATCTGTCAGTGAGAGGCTAAATTTACCGAGAGTGTGACC